TTACACAACAGAATATTGTATTTATTGGACCCCACCACATTGGTATGGAAAAGGATTATGGCAAGATAGCGTTTTACTGGAGATGTAGTAAGGATATTGTTCCTTTAAAACAAAAGTTTTTTACAATGTTCTCTACTTAGTACATTTTGGAAAAAAATAATGGATTATATAAATATGACTGTGGAAAAACCTAAAATTTTCAGAGGATAATATTATTTTGAACTATATACCTAACTACATGGAATTTGACACCTGGACAATGTAAATGGATACCAAAGCATGGATAAGTATAATGAAATTTGGAACTCATTTATAAAAAATAAATTAGATTAAAAAATTTAATTGTTAACAATTGTTATAGTAATTTACTATTTTCTTTTCCTTTTTTTCTTATTTTTTCATTAACTTTTTTCTTTTCAAAAATAGCACCTTTCAAGTAAAGAATATATAATATAATATAATATAATATAATATAATATAATATAATAAAATATAATAATATAATATAATATAATATAATATAATATAATATAATACCACCAAGGAAGACCTTTTCATCCAAACATGCTTGGCTTCTTCTGTTGAAAATATACTTCACACTGTTCAGCCTCTTAATGAATTTTCATTGTAGTGTTTGAGTATAAATTAAAATTTTATTCTAATAAACAACGCTGGTGTTGTTGGGTTGTTTTTTTTAAAAAAATGCATCCCTCGCAATCATCTCTGTTTGCAAAATGTTTCACTGTTTCTTTTTGAGGATAATTTGTGTCTTGTTTATCAGAATAGTTCAGAGGGCAGAGGGGTTTTTTCCAGCAGGAACTCAGTGGAACTCAGTTCCAGCAGCTCTCAAGTGGGTGCCAATGCCATTCTAAGAGAAAGAGGGCGGTGTTCGTGGTGAGTTCCAGCACCTCTGTTTTCTAGAAAAATAGCACTGCTGGAATGTAATGGGTTTTGAGTGGGATCAGGGCAGAGGTAGGCAGCTCAGAGAAGGAGCCACAGGAACCTGGTGGATTCTAAATATCTGGTCAGAGGCCTCCCTTGTGACAGGTTGCCACTGGGAATAACACAGGTAAGGGGATCGGCACTGGTAGCCCCCCCCCCCAAATATGTTACTACTGGTTTCTCAGTTTCTCATTTCCCTTAAGTTCAGTTCAACACATAGATTCTTCTTTGTTTTGTTTCTTCTATTTTTTAAAGCCCTCATGAAAATTTGTTGGTGTTGTTTTAGTGTGCATTTCCCTCCCTAATAAACACATTTTTGCAATGTTTCCCAGTATACACATTTTCAGTAGCGATTTCTGCTATTTTTATTTGTCACATTTTAGTCTGCTATTATTATTACTTATTAGTCACATTCAAGTACCTTAAAGCAACTTACAAAGTAAAAAAATGCCCTGGTCAATTGATTTACATACCACATTTCCCACAATTAAATCTGTGCTCAAAGTGGCTCACACAGAAATCCAAGTCTCAGTAACTACATACAATAACTACATGCTTAAGACATATATCTCTGTAACGTAACACTAAAAAATTAATAATCAACAATTAACTGTTTATTTAACATATATAAACATTTAAGTAAGCATGCAGCTTACTAACAGGTCAAGACAAAGTATCCACAGCAAAGACATTAAAATCAGATAAAATAGAATGTATTTTTGAATGTTACCTCCACTAGTATATGCATTGTTATGAATGCTTTTCCCTAACCAACATTTTCAGTTGGGGAGAACTGTGTTGCAAAATTCAGAACAGTGTGAATTCTCAAGGATAGGTCTGTGTTTCAGTTTGCACATTGTTTTGGGAAGTGTGAATGGGGCAGTGTTGCGTGAAAATGCCAACAGGACCAAATTTCTGTCCTAACCCTATTCACATGGACCAGAAGTGGTTTAGTCATGCTGCCCACATGACCTGGAAAGCTGTCTGTGGACAAACCCCATCTCCCTCAGCCTGAAGCAAGATGAGCGCTGCTCCCCAGTCAAGTTTGACTGGACTTAACCAGTGGGAGGCGGGTGGCGCTGTGGTCTAAACCACAGAGCCTCTTGGGCTTGCCGATCAGAAGGTCAGCGGTTCGGATCCCCACGACGGGGTGAGCTCCTGTTGCTCGGTCCCTGCTCCTGCCAACCTAGCAGTTCGAAAGCACGTCAAAGTGCAAGTAGATAAATAGGTACTGCTCTGGCGGGAAGGTAAACGGCATTTCCGTTCGCTGCTCTGGTTCACCAGAAGTGGCTTAGTCATGCTGGCCACATGACCCGGACGCTGTATGCCGGCTCCCTCGGCCAGTAAAGCGAGATGAGCACCACAACCCCAGAGTCGTCCGCAACTGGACCTAACGGTCAGGGGTCCCTTTACCTTTACCTCTCCTACTGCACACATTTTTATATGCAGTTCTGTCTAATGCACACAACACAATTTCCCCAAATGTAATGAATTTTTGTATGTTATTTTCACAAACATATGCATACTTTACCCCAGTATATTAATCTTTGTACACATTGCTCCACTGCAAAAAGTGGAGAAATGCAAAATATGAAAGATGTGGCTGCGTTTTCAGTTCACATATTGTTTAAGAAAATAGAAAAATGTTACGTTTCCCTTTAAATGTGAGCTGGATTGAGCTTCTCCCCCATCCCTAGTTACAACACAGGCTGGTTGTGCTCATCCTTAAGGGAGTCTATTTCGCATTGTTGCAATCATGCTAGAGCTTTATTGTGTGCGTAGCAGGATTGCTCCTTGTAAAACATAATGCTCTCAAGAAGGCATAGTAAAATGGAGACTATCAGGATTTTAATGAGCAATATGCTTTTATGTGCTTACAATCTTCTGGTGCTATATAACACCTGAGCCCCCAAAATACTAGAATAGCTGCTCCCAAATCACACTATTAATCGTGTATAATGAAAGTAGACTGTAGTGCTGAAGTGGCATAGATCCGGCCACTTGCTGCAAGTAAGGTGTGAGCTGAAAATATTTACCATTTTTTGCATTTGTATTCTCAAAAGTGTCTGGACTGACTTTGCCCTGCAAAGGAATGTTGGGTGCGTTCTAGATAGAGATCATAAAATCTATCAATTTCAGGACCATTCAACACTTACTATTTTATGGTGTCATTGTTGCTGTTTGATCTGACATTTTTTGCAGTGAATCTGTAGCTGATTGTCTGAACCCTTTGGTCATATGTTGCTGTTATTGGAGAGGGAGTTTTCCTTTCCTTTCCACACTAATGGCGGGTTGTACCTGAATGAGAAAAGTTTCAGGGATGTAGTCACATCCCGTATGTACCCTAATGATTCTCCAGTAATAATGCCTAATATTCTGGAATATTCTTGGGCCAAGGAAGAAGAAGAAGAAGAAGAAGAAGAAGAAGAAGAAGAACAACAACAACAACAACAACAACAACAACAACAACAACAACAACCACCCCACACTTCTGGCTGGGTTGCCCCAGCCACTCTGGGCAGCTTCCAACACATATAAAAACATAATAAAATGTCAAACATTAAAAACTTTCCGATACAGGGGAAAAGTTGTGTACTTCTTCATCTCCTGGACTAAGAGACTAGAAGAAATATGTGTTTGCCTGAGCTATGGCAAGCCTGGTTATTATTAAGAAATTTTGTAGGCAGCTAAAGATTGCTTTCATTAGATCCCAAAACTAAGAATTTGTCAAGAATGTATAACTTGCTGTTGAAATGGAATACTCAAGATGAAACAGTGAAATCTGCTATGATTAAATGGGCACAAGATGTTGGACATAACATTATGATGGCTGACTGGGAACAGTTATGGACCACAGGTATGAAGTTCACGGCATGTACAGTGGTGCCCCGCAAGAGGAATGCCTCGCAAGACGGAAAACCCGCTAGACGAAAGGGTTTTCCGTTTTTGAGTTGCTTCGCAGGACGAATTTCCCTATGGGCTTGCTTCGCAAGACGAAAATGTCTTGCGAGTCTTGAGATTTTTTCCCCGCTTTCCCCCCCCTTTATCTAAGCCGCTAAGCCTTTAATAGCCTTTTAGCAGCTAATCCGCTAAGCTGATAAGCCTTTAATAGCCGCTAAACCGCTAATAGCGCTAATCCGTTAAGCCGCTAATAGGGTTGCTTCGCAAGACGAAAAAACCGCTAGACGAAGACACTCGCGGAACGGATTAATTTCGTCTTGTGAGGCACCACTGTAATGCCTTAAGAGAGAATATTATGAAAATGATATGCAGGTGGTACATGACACCAGTCAAGCTTGCAAATATTTATCATTTGCCCGATAATAAATGTTGGAAATGTAAAGAAACTGAGGGTACATTCTTTCACCTTTGGTGGACGTGCCCAAGGATTAAGGCTTTCTGGGAGATGATCTATAATGAAATGAAAAAGGTATTTAAATATACCTTCCTGAAGAAACCAGAGGCCTTTCTCCTGGGTATAGTCGGCCAATTGGTGCCAAAGAAGGATAAAACTTTTTTTATGTATGCCACAACAGCAGCAAGAATTCTTATAGCAAAGTATTGGAAGACACAAGATCTACCCACTCTGGAAGAATGGCAGATGAAGGTGATGGACTATATGGAATTGGCGGAAATGACTGGCAGAATCCGAGACCAGGGAGAAGAGCCGGTGGAAGAAGATTGGAAGAAATGTAAAGATTATCTGCAGAAATACTGTAAAATTAATGAATGTTAGGATGATGTTGGAATGAAGCTAAGGGGTTTTTAGTAGTAATGCTACAAGGAGTATGTAAAAATGGACTGTTAACAGATGAGAATATACAATTATTATATATTAAGACAAAGGTTTAAGATAAAAACAAAGAGGGAAAGGATTTGCTGAATTATTTTATTGAATTGGAATACAAAAAAGGGAGGTGTGAGGAGGTCAGGGAAACAAGTGAGTGAAAGATAAGTTATGGAAAGATTGATTTGTTTTTAATTGTTGTTATTTTTTTTTTGTATTTTTTTTTGTATCTTGTATTTTCTTCTTTCATTTTTTATTCTTTCTTATTATTACCATTGTAACTTTTCTATTTTTGAAATCTTAATAAATATCTTATTGGGGGGGGGGGAGATTGCTTTCACGAGCAGTACTTTGAGTACCATGGTCCCCATCTGGCACATCTCTCCTCTGAACTGAACTCGCAGACTGACAGCTCGGGGGGCACAATCAGAGGAAGTGGTGCAAAGGAGATGGGTCTCAAGCCCCAACCATGAACCTCTCGCCCCTTCCACACAGAAACCAGGATGATGTTTGCAGACATGCCACAAAAATGGAAATATTGAGGATCCATTCGGGATATATCACGAAAGTCAGTTTTTCTTTGGCAGTAGAAGGGAAAAAATTCTTTGGTAGAGTTGACCCATATCTTGTGCAGGGGGTGGCGCATATACACAAATACACGTAGCCCCTATGTGAACCACCCCCATGTGAACCATCTTAATTTCTGGGCCAAACAGGCTTTACTCCCCAAGCAAGGCAGAGAGCTTTCAAGCTCTGCACCTTTCTTACCAGGTTCTGGAAAGCTCTTGCAAGGGCTCTGGCCAGAAAACCTGATGCAGAAAGACCTCTGACCTCCGCACCTTGCGTGCATTTAAATTGTGTCATTTCAACCGGCCATAAATGCATGCAAGTTGCGAGTCGACTATACATCATTCTGAATAATGATGTACAGTCTAACTGAAAAATAATCGCATCATGTGGCAGCATGCTGAAAAATCTGAAAAACCCCCATCAACTATACCACTATCAATGGCAAGTACGGAAATATTCCTGTTTGTAATTTTTGAAGTCTTACATTCAGTTCTTCACATTTCTGCACTAGAGCACAATTTCCCCCCTCCATGTCCTCATTAACATTCATCTGCATTTTAGTATGAAGTCCTCTTGAAAGAAACATTTATTGTGCAACTTTGCCTAGTATACACATTTTTGTCAAGCAATTTCCCCATATATGATGCAATTTGCTATGTTTCTTTCACCTATATATTCATTTCTATGCACACTTCACCCTAATATATACATTTGCTACTTGGCTGGAGAACTACATTTCAGAATTCTAGCAAATTTCAAATGGTGACTGTGTTTCAGCTCATGTATTTTTCTGAAAGCGCAGATTAGGTAAATTTACTTTTAAATGTGAACTGAATAAGCCCATTCTCAGTAGAGTCAGGTGGACAAAGGAATTCCTAGGATAGTTTCCTGGTCCAATTCTAGGTTCTCACACTAGTGTTCATTGGGAGTGATAAGATGCTAATCACAAGAACTGTCCTTTCTTTTAAATAAATTTTATTTGCTTTTGTGACACAAACAAAACAACATATAACATCATAAACACATAAATAACAGAGTTAAGAGCATTGGCTGAATCTCTGTTGTACTGCAATACATTTTTTTTACTTATGCCTGGAATTCTCCTTTTTCTTTGAATACGTGGCGAGGGGGGAGCAATTTAATCTGAAGCAATTTAATATTAAATGTATTTACAACTGATAATTTTGTATGTGCACTGTGTTCCTCCTAATCGATGCATGCAGTGGAATGAAATGTGAGTGGGATAGGCTGTTCCATTTCAGAATTTAGGTGTGCAGGGAAACAGTTTTTTATTTCTCCACCATATTAAAAAATATATGCCTACAAATAGAAAACTATCACAATGCAGGGAAGACTATGGTAACCTTTCCTCCTAATGTACCACTATTGCTTTTATTATTATTAATATTTATTATCATCATTATTTACTGGCAGAAAGTTTTTCTACATGCGAGAAAATTAAAAAGAACATTCCCCTACCTATAGAACAATGTGGTACAATTCAGGATTTCTACCACCTCCTTTTGCTGTATGTGCATATTTTAATTTGGAGGATTGCAAAACTGGGGGTGAATGGGCGGAATGCTTGATGCATGTTGGACATTTTGCTGATATGTCTCTCCCTGAGCTCATTCTGTTTTTCCACCTGCAAATTTACGGAAAGGTTTCCTCCTAACCACCTGGCCTTGAACATGCTTATCTGTAACTTCACCAGTGCTCACAGTTTATTTTTTTCCCAAAATTATGTATTAACAAAAGCAACATGAACAGAGTCACCACCTTGATCAGGAAAGGCTTGTTTTGTTTGTTTCCAGAATTCTGATTTGCTAATAGGGGTCGGGTGATAACAAATGTCATTTGAAACCTGTATTAAATGTAAGTAATAATTTTTAAAGCACAGGAAAAGGACTAGGTGCAGAGCTGAGAATCGGCTTTGTGAAAATGATTGGAAGCTACATAATTAAAACAATATGAGGATCCCACCCCAGCCACCCTCTCTCAGTTTTTTTCACACTCTACCACATCCTCTATTGCGAACTCAATCATCACTGCATATATTTAAAACAAACAACAGAACATATTTTCAAGATCAAATTTCTGGACCCAAATAAGGCCAAATTCTTCAGTTGCCATTTTCCAACTTCTATTTTGGAAAAGCTGTTTCTAATCTAACACATTTGCATGCTTATAATCTGCACCAAACGGAATGATACACTCAGTTTCTCCTTTGATATGTAACTGTCTTTGGATAACTTTGGGAATAAAGCAATTTTAGTTAAATATTTATTTATTTATTTAAAAAAACAAAGCAAGGACAGAAATGACTGAAGGGCATCAAATGGAAGAAGGGATTTTTAAAAAAGGAAGGGGGGAAGGAAGAAGGGAAGGAGAGAAAGGCAGAGAGGGAATGAGAACAAGAGCGGGAAAGAACTCAGCAGTGACTGACAACTTGTAATAGGAGGTTGGTAATTTAAAATCCAGAAATTATGGTTGTTGTTCATCTAAACTCCGAAACCAAAGTTGGGAAATTCAGCCATGGAATCAAATGTATGTTTGACATGTGGATTGCAAACTGCTTTCAGAAGAACTCTTATTGAAAAGCAGCATGCAGATTTGTTAAATACAATAAATAATAAAATATAATCCTCTTATAGTAGAATCTTTGTTTGTTTGTTGTGTTTGAGGGGCATTTTTATGCACCTTACCTTTCTCATTGACGATTCTGTAGCTTTTCTATTCAAGAGCCACTCAGTTTCCTAAACACTTTGAAAGGCAGAGTAAGGCTAGAGGTCTATTTTGCCTTGCAAACCAACCCCCACAGACTAGCTCTATGTGAAACTCGTGCCATCTTGCCAAGACTCCTGAGTATGTAAGCCACTTTGCACACCTTTTGGCTGAAGAATGGGGTACACGTATTCTAAATAAAGCATCCCCCCATTTTCCTTAAAAGCAAACCGAGCATCTTACCATAACTTGATTTAGAACAGGTCCTGCTAGCTAGGGATGATGAGAGTTGTAGTCCATAAACAGCTGGAGAGTCTAGGGTTGCCAAATTTCAAAAAGTAAAAACAAAAATGAGGAAAAATCTGGACGTGTGGCAGCCCTACTGGAGACCCAAGTTTGGGAAATCCCGATTTATAATTTTGTAGGCTTACCAGGAGCCTGGGGGAAAGTGCCTCAGCTGCTCATCCCTGATATAAGAAAAGCCTTCTTGCTGGTGGACACAAAGAGGAGAAATGTATAGCCTCATCCTATGCACATTTACTGAGATGCAAGGCTCCACCTGCGCTATACATTTGAAGCAGTATCATGACACTTTAAACAGTCATGGCTTCCCCCAAAGAATCCTGGGAACTGGATATGGAGAGTTAATAAGGCATCTTTCTTGCCCTCACAGAGCTATAGTTTCCACAGTGATTGCTTGTTAAACCACTCTGCAGATTGTACCCTTACCCAACTACATTTCCCATGATTCTCTGTGGCAAGCCATTACTGTTTAAAGTATGTACTGTTTAAAGTATGATACTACTTTAAACCTATAGTGTAGATGGGGCTTTAGTCCTAATGAGTTTCCTGGCACTTACTTCTGAGTTTGATTAAGACCACAGCCTTAGACAATATAGCCTCCAAAATAAATAAACTGAAATCAGAGGATAAATATTTCTCTAGATCTTCTCACTTCCCCCTTCTAGTTAGAACTCTCTACAAAGTCAGGTCTTTTAAAAAATGCCAATTAATGCATTTTAACCAATTAAAAGATCACAGTGCCTCTATAAACAAATATGCATATGTCAGTGGAGGGATATTTAATGACTATTTTTCGCTACTGTTCACTCACAAGCCAAATCATTTGGGGATTGAAGGATGTACACAAATTTGTTTAAAATGCTATCCGTAATTAGCATTTTTAATAGGGACAGCTGTGATTTTTCAATAAATACACTCTTTTAAATCTGTAATTAATGCAAGGATGCTACATGCAGATTTACCAAGCAATAAATTCCAGTACTAGTAACGGCATAATCAGTTTATATTTTAAAATAAATCAGAGGAATGTTTGTAGAAGTTACATAACTGGATCACATATACTGTAAATCACCTGGAATTATTCCTCCTTTAAATTCCTGTATCAGAACAAAAATACACACACACCCTAGAACTGGCTTCATCTATATTTACATAGCTGTTTAGATGCCAACATTCATTGTGTGTTCAGTCTCAGAAGATTACGTTTCTGTTTGGTGAGTCAACAACCCAGAATGGACTTGTTTGACCACATGCAGAGAACTACAGATACATGAATGAGAGACACATAAATAATTGCAGAAGGGATGGCAATGCTTCCTTATTGAAAATGAAATAGCTGGGAGGGGGAATTTGGGTGGTGTTTTGCCTGTGCTCCCCAGAAAGAAATCTATAGTACTCAACAGCTTTACTAAAAATAAAAAATAAAAGTCTAAGGGGCTTTGCACCATAAAGCTATAACCCCAAACATATTTGCTAACAAATGAGCAAGGGGAACTTGCCTCAAGGGGTGCACTTTTAATTTAATCTTCCATTCTAAACCTAAAATAATTCTACATTAATCTATCTTAATTATTTGCGTCTATATATCTGTTTTGTGTGCAAATTTGTGTATACACACAGTCTATATAAAAATAAAACCAGTGGATGTTTCTCTCTCAGTAATACTTGCACTTGGGGAAAGAATCTAACTACTTTTGCTCTCAGCATAAAAAATAATGCAAGACACCAGCAGTGCATTAATACCTTTGAAGAAGGTATGTTGCTACCTCTCCCAACCACCAGGGCACCTGTGCTTTTAACAGCTGCAGGATGGGTAGAGATGAAGCTCTTCCCACCTCTTGTCTTTTCCAGGCTGGCAAAGGTGCAACTGCTGGACATCTGCCTGTCAGCCAGATGTTTAACAGGCACAAGAACCCTGCCAGTAAGGAAAAGTTGGCAACCTTAGTTCCTGGAGGATTTGACCCACTGAAGTAAGTTCTGCTTCCATCCAGGTGTGCTTCTGGAATCAACACATCCCCCTCATATTGAACTCATTTTCCCTAGTGTGGGTTTTTAAAAAAGAAATACTATGGTTGAAATGGCCGAATTCTCGTAGACGGGAGTATCCCCTTCCAAATACTTCCTGGCTGAGGCGCCAGATTGCCCCAATTACTTTAATTAATTGTACGACAACCGAACAAGAATCAGGGAGCCAGCCCTAACCCTCCCTTTTCTCAGACATCTGCTCTAATAATCACATGCACTCGGTTTCAAGGCACTTAAAAAGCCTTTGAGCGCTGGGGAGGGATCCTGATTCTGTCTGAGTGAAACTCCACTCCACTTTTTATAGCATCACATATTTTGCTCATGACATATGAGCTACCCTCTCTGCTCTGCAGAAAACCCGGGGCAGATTTCCCTTCCGGAATCTGGCTTTTGATTGAAAACCCCCATTCATCCAGAGTAAACACAGCTACACAAAAGCCTACAGGCAGCCTGAGCAAGGCTATAAATAGGCACTGTTTATTTTACATGGATTTCACTGGGCCGTGCCAGCGAGTCACGAAACAGATCACCCCCCCCATGTGTGCGTGTGTGTATATAAATCTGTTTTGTTGCCCACAATCTAAATTAATGATAGTTAAATATACACGAGTCCATTTCTTTTGCTTTGATAAATATGCCTATTGACTGATAACGTTGCTGAGTTCAAAACTGAGGCAGCAGCCAAAGGCGTAATCCAACAGCAAACAATGCACATAAAAATGTTAATTTCATATAGAGCAGCATGGGAGGGGAAAGACTGGGGAGGATTCTCTTTTTTAAATGTGGAAGATTTGTGTTTGCGCTAACATTTTGAAAAACCACCATGAAATTTAAAATCACTTTACAGAATTTACACACACACACACACACACAATCTTACACATTTCAGGTATACATTCTGGCGCCAAAATCCATCTTAACGCGATTTCCAGTAAAATACTGAGATGGATTTTCCAGTACTAAAACCCCCAGCTCTTGTCAATTAACTAAATGGATACAAATGTCACCTGTAACCTTTTAAGAACAATTTAATGGGCATTTAAAATTTGATCCATTTTTCTTTAAAGGAGGCAATGCTTAACCAACATTTTGCTATTACCTCCCCACCCCACAAAAAAAAACCCACCACTCTGTGTGTCTGTGCTTGTAAGTGTTGGGAAACAAACCAAGTTTTTGAACAAAATCTGGCGTCGAGGGGCAGAAAACATGGAGATAGCTGGGGTGGTGGGGATGTGAAAACTGACTTTCGTATTACTCACCAGTTGTTTATACTAGTGTATTTTAAGTGTCTAAATGTGTCACGAGCCATGTGGCAACATCTCTCATAAGGAGAGGAAGAATGGGATGTGAATGCCAAACTGGGTCTTTGGAAGGGGCCCAGAGCACTGGGAGGCTCTGATCTAGATCAGGGGTCAGCAGACTTTTTCAGCAGGGGGCCGGTCCACTGTCCCTCAGACCTTGTGGGGGCCCGGACTATATTTTGAAAAAAACAACGAATGAATTCCTATGTCCCACAAATAATCCAGAGATACGTTTGAAATAAAAGAATACATTCTACTCATGTAAAAACACCAGGAAGGCCCCACAAATAACCCACAGATGCAATAAAAGGACACATTCTAGTCATGTAAAAACACACTGATTCCCAGACTGTCCGTGGGCCAGATTTAGAAGGAGATCGGGCCAGATCTGGCCCCCGGACCTTAGTTTGCCTACCCATGATCTAGATGCTGAGGCCCTGCAGGTTGTCTGAGGAGAGACTTTCCTTAGCATTATTGAATGTCCCAACTGCCCATGGAAAAGTCACCTGACTTGAGTCCAGCACCACCTCCTGTCCATGAAGCTGTTCCCCACTTCTAGGGAGGTGCCTGAGAACATATTCGCACCATACATTTAAAGTGCTACTTTAAACAGTCATGGCTTCTCCCTCAAAGAATTCTGGGACCTGTAGTTTGTTAATGGTGTGGAGAGTTGTTAGGAGGCCCCCAGTCCCCTCAGAGAGCTACCATTCCCCAGAGTTCCCTGCAAGGATTGCAAACACTATATTTATATATCTGTACTACAAAGTTTTAGCAGTCCTGTTCCAGTGTAACAGTAATGATTTCCCCGCAAAAATCCTGGTTGATATGGTTATTTAGCACCAGTGTGAGGAAACTGTGGTCCTCCAAAGGTTGCTGGACTGCAACTCCCGTCGTTCATAACCTATGCTTGTTTAGGTATGATAGGCACTGAAGTCTTGCAAGATCTGGAAGGCCACAGGTTCTTTGCCACCAGTTTATAGATCCCTGTTGCCAGAACGACAATCCCAGTCTTCCTGCTCCCACTAAAGCAGGGTGGGAATTCAGCCCTAAACACACCTCACTGAACTCAATGAAGCTTACTTCTGAATAGACACACAGAGGACTGCAGACCCTCCAAACCCAGATTTATAGAAGCCGTCCCATTTTCTGATTTGATCCCAGAATGTCCTGCTTCTCCTTAGGAGTTACTGGAGAAATGTTGGAGCTTATAGAGTTATGCGAGCCCTGGGCCAAGGAGATAACTATACAACCTTTAGAAGACATCTAAAGGCAGCCCTGCATAGGGAAGTTTTTAAAATGTTTAATGCTTTATTATGTTTTTACATATGTTGGAAGGCACCCAGAGTGGCTCTGGCAACCCAGTCAGATGGGTGGGGTACTCTTATTATTATTATTATTATTATTATTATTAAATAGGACATCCCTGTTTTCATCGGAGAAATGTTGGAGGGTATGGGACTGCAATGACTGTCTATGAGAGCTATCAAAAACTTGGTGCTCTTTGGATGTTTGAGACTACAGTTCCCATGCTGGCTGGGGCTGATGTCCAAAATACCTGGAGGGCATCAGGTTATTGAAGGCTGATCTTTGGTGCAGATGTGCCCTTAAGGTGCTGGTTTACATATACAGAGATTCTTGAGAAGAACATAATCCATTCCGATGTTGCCTTAAATTGGCAGGCCTTATTAGGATGCACTACTTTTTACAATGCACTATTTAAAGAGTCCCATCGATGTGAAAATACCACACACTGCAAAGACAATGTTCTGTCATTGTGTAGAGAAGAGTGTGTGGGAGTATCTTCCAAGCATAAGAGGAAGAATGGCAGCACAAAAGCCATAGTTACCACAGAACTGGCTGTCTAGATGGAAATTGTTTTAAAATTGTAAAATGAATGCAGTGGAACAGAGGCATCTGTTTGAGAGCCTATAATGGCTGGCCCAAGAAAATGCCAGGTCTCTGGACTTGAAGCAAAGTTTCAGGGAGGGGTTATGGGAAACAAATTTCAGGGACACTTAAAAGCCCATCTCAAACAACAGGTGGGGTTTTTGTCTGTTTTTAAAATCAATTTCAGAAATACAAATAACAGGAACATCAGATTATAAAGCCCCTCTCTCTAAATTATTCTCTGGCTCAGATAAAAATCTGAGCCGCAGATGAATCCCCAGTTTCCCCCATTCCCCAGCAATTGCATTAGCCCATAGGAGAACTACTCCCATGATCAAGGCTTTTGTGTCCTGTGAGTTCCCTGGAAAGATGAGTTTATTGATAAGCCGCTCTGAGAACTGCAACTTTGTGAGGGGAATAGGGGTCTTCTAACAACTCTCAGCAGTATTAACAAACTACAGTTCCCAGGATTCTTTAGGAAAAGCCACAAATGTTTAAAGTAGTTCCTGTGTTTGCAAGGCATGTTGCATTGATACAGCTATGCATTGAACAAGATGATCCTTACGGGGTCTGTTTCAGCTTTACAGTTTTATGATTCCATTATCATCTGCCAGTTTCTTTCTTAAGAATGGGGAATGACACAGACAGACAAAATCAAATGATCCCTGAAGTGTTGTGAGGGAGGATAATAGGGGAAGCAATGTCACTGTATAAAGGATGTATATTAGATCAGTCTTCCACAACCTGGTGCCCTCCAGATGATTTACACTACAACTCCAATCAACTCCAGTCAGGTGCTGTTGGGAGTTTTAATCCAAAATATCAGGAGGGCACTAGGTTGGGAAAGCTGATCTAATATATACACAGTTTAACTATGGAGTGCTTAGACAAATATTTCATCTTATCATTAAATCATTAATTAAATTTATATCCCGCCTTTCCCCTAAGAAGCTCAAGTTTGTGGGCAGAGTTTTCCTCCTCTCCATTTTATCACCCACAACAACCCTGTGAGGTGGGTCAGGCTGAGAATGAGTGACTGGCCCAAGGGAGCTTCATGGCTGAGTTGGAGATTCAAACCTTTCTCTCCAAGGTCTTAGTCCAACACTCTAACCACTACATCACACTGTCTCTTATCTAACCAGAGTTGTTTCTTAGAATAAAGTAAAGCAATAACTCCCACAGCTTTTCTCCATAAACCTCCTATGAAGCCTGGGGCAGGGGGAGGAAATGTAGTTGCTTAAAGGGTCTTAATAATAAGAGCTTGCTGGATCAGGCCAATGGCCCTTCTAGTCTAGCATCCTGTTCCCACAGTGGCCAACCAGAAGCCTGTGAGAAACCCACAAGCAGGACCCAAGCACAAGAGAACACCATTCTCCTGAGATTTCCAATGGCTGGTATTGCGGAGGCAGAGCATAGCCATCATGGTCCATGAGACTTGTTGTTGTTTAGTCATTTAGTTGTGTCCGACTCTTCGTGACCCCATGGACCAGAGCACACCAGGCACTCCTGTCTTCCACTGTCTCCCGCAGTTTGGTCAAACTCATGCTGGTAGCTTTGAGAACACTGTCCAACCATCTCGTCCTCTGTCGTGCCCTTCTCCTTGTGTCCTCCATCTTTCCCAACACCAGGGTCTTTTCCAGGGAGTCTTCTCTTCTCATGAGGTGGCCAAAGTATTGGAGCCTCAGCTTCATGATCTGTCCTTCTAGTGAGCACTCAGGGCTGATTTCCTTAAGAATGGAGAGGTTTGATCTTCTTGCAGTCCATGGGACTCTCAAGAGTCTCTTCCAACACCATAATTCAAAAGCATCAATTCTTCAGTGATCAGCCTTCTTTATGGTCCAGCTCTCACTTCCATACATCACTACTGGGAAAAACATAGCTTTAACTATACGGACTTTTGCTGGCAAGGTGATGTCTCTGCTTTTTAAGATGCTGTCTAGGTTTGTCATTGCTTTCCTCCCAAGAAACAGGCATCTTTTAATTTTGTGACTGCTGTCACCATCTGCAGTGATCATGAGTCTTAAGGGGAGAAAATGCAAGCTGTGCCAAATTCAAGTTTCTTTAACCAGAAGACTTGTTCCACAGAACAGTTTTGAAAGGATGGGAAGCCATCACCGCTACAGCTGACCCTCTTCAACTCCATTATTAACT